TGTGATGTTGACATCATTAGTTGTCATATATTTTTCACTAGGGAAAGAATCAAAATAAGTTAGTAATAAATGTAAGAATCAAAGCAATTATAGAACTGTCTAAGCCCCACGGTGGGCGCCTAGCTATTTTCCCGCGAAGCTGTATAGTTAAATTTATTACGTTATTTATAGACAAGCGAATTGATTTAATTAAAAAAATGATAAAGAGATAAGATTAAGATTGAGATTTAACGATTGAAATTGAAGAAGATAACAAGCCTGGCTCCGAACTCTGCGTCTCCGAGAGAACAAATAGGAATGACGAAAAAGTGATAGAAAACTGTTAATTTCAGAGTAAAATAGTAAAATATAGCCTTTGTTGTATCGAATATTTCGTGTCCTTACAATGGCTGCTAAGTCTGCTATTTATAGCTTTACCTAGGAAAACAAGATCATAGGATCACTCTTAAATGATAATAAAAAAGTCATTAATGAACGCGTAACAGCAGACCATGAAAGTAAATATTCTCTACAATGGTCGCTCATTTAATGTTAGCGAATATTCCCTCATTGAATGCTATCCGATGGCAAACTCTTGACCTTCTCCTGTCGACTACGTTCCATTTGGGATTTACCCGATATCGATTATATTCATTGTATCCGGTATTAGTTGTTTCCTTACTTTCTCGTTGCCTATCTTCAACTCCACGTGTCATGTTATCATTCGACCATACGTATTTACCACATATATATATATATATATATATATATATATATATATATATATATATATATATATATATATATATATATATATATATATATATATATATATATCGATGAGTCCCACTATAACCTGTTGGGGTGGAGAGATAATTCGAAATTATGAATGGTTTAACTAAATGTTTAAGCCACATTAACTGAATAATTAGGGACTTTGGCTTGTATATAATTTTAAGAGCCAAAAAGCATTATTTTTAATATGGGGAAAGAGAGAAATTACAAGAAGAAAAACTTCATTCTTTAGCACTCTTTTTTGATCAATATTAATCCGAGCACTATTATCTTTTCACCTTTTAAGATGCGAGACGAAGAGCAGAGTAGGAAGGTGGGGGGG